TATATTTAGTTATTTAAGGTAAAGCGCTATAAACTAAAAGGGTTAGGATAATACTATTAGGTCCTATAGAGTTATTAATAGCCTTAAAAGCCATTTATAATATAGTATTCTTATTAATTCCGTTGATTTTGGCTATAATAATAAGATAGATATATTAGATTAAGCTATAGTAGTATTCTATAATTCCAATAAAGTTATAAGCTTCTATAAGAATAATCTTAATAATAATAGAATAGTTAAAGCTAATATTATTTCTTAGGTTAAACTTGAATTATCTAGGTAATTAGCTATATTTCTGGTATTACTTATAATACTTTATAAAATACTTAAAGACTTCTATATTAATATTATAGCCTACTTATTCTAATATATTTCGAAGCTTACTAATAAATAAATAACTAAAATAATAATATAGATATTATAATTTGATTTTTATAAGAAAGCAGGAATTATAAGTAAAGAATTCGGAAATAAAGCCTTATAGTATAGTATTTTAAAGCAGGAAAGAATATTTGAAATATTATACTATAGGTATATATTTTCTAATAGAAGTAATAAGATAATTAGTAAGATTATTAAAGTAAATCCCTAGCTTGTCTATATTAGCTAAGCTAAGCAAAAATAGAGTCTTTAAAGGCATAATATAGAATTATACTTACCTAATTAGTATATTTATTATTATAGATCTAATAGAAGATATAGATCTAATACTAAACTAGATATTAACTTAATCTTTAGTAGTTTTATTAAGTTTAATACTATTATTAGTTTACTAGAGAACTTGGAATTAGTCAGAACTAGTAGTTAAGTATCTAGAGGCTCTGGTATTAATTATAACTTCGTAAAAATAGTAAGTATTATATCTTAATATACTATTAACTATAAAAGTCTAGGTATCTTCTATTAAGGGTTTAATAAGCTTTAAGGTATGGTTTTTGCCTATTATCTAGTATATAAGGGAAAGGGAAGTAAGATTATCTATAAGGGTATTAGCTATAGTTATTAGTAAAGCAGAAGTAATAGGAGTAGCTAAAAAGCTCTTAACTAAAGTAAAGTAGAAATCTGAATAGTATTCCTCTTCTTTATTCGTTTTTGCTAATAAAACCTCAAAAGCATTATTTACTAGTTCGTTCTTATTACCCTTATTACCCTCTATGCCTTTAGCTTTAGTAATATACTATATATAAGTATTATTAAAGTATTTATTAAAATTACAGGTATTTTGGGATCTAAACTAATAAATATTTCTATTCCTAAATCGAGCCTTCTTAGCCTCTTATTTCTCTGGTATATATTTCTATAAGTAGTATTCGGGTTTCTTATATATAAAACACAACTTTAAGATATAATTATTATAATTATAGGGCTTAGAGTAATTATTACAGATTCCGAAGTTATGACTGGGTTCATATTAATAATTTCTGGAGGAATAATAGCTTAAAGAATTCTGAGAGTAATATTATTAATTAGTAAAGAAGATTTCGGGATTAGCTTATTATTTACTCTTATATATAGTAATAGATAATTAGAGCTTATTAATAAGCTAGCCGAGATTTGTAAAAGGGTCTGAGATTATATATCTATATATCCGAAAGCCTTAGTAAAAGGTAATAATCTTATTATAGAGAAATTTGGTATTTTATAAGTTAGGTATAAGACCGTACTATAATTAATATAGTTCATTAATTAGTAACTAAATAGTCTCAAATATTATCTTTTCCGGAAATTTAGCTATTATAGAAGTTAATATAGTAGTATTCCACTTATCTAAATTTCGATATTTGAATTCAGGGCCTTTAAAAAGCTATAGATATTAATACAAGTTTCTTTATATATATATTAAGAGAGCTAGTTATTATAGAAGTAGTCTTGAGCTAGTTCTTTTAGTATAATAGGAAAAGCTTGCATTAGTACCTCTTATAGAAGCTCTATATATTAGTAAATATTAAGGAAAATAGTAAGTTTATAGTCAAAATTACTATTGAATCTATTATACTTTTATTCTTTAGTATAGATCTTGGCGACTTCTCTAATAAGTCTTATAGTTAAAGATACTTGGGGGGCATTCGGATATAGTTGCGGTAGTAGTAATAGGGCTAGTAGAAGTAGTAGGGCTAGTAGGAGTATACTATTTGCTTCTGGAGCTTCCGTATTAGTATATAAATCTGGTAGAAATATAGGATATAGTAATAGAGGAAGTAATAGTAGTATAGGAATATTAAAGATAATAGGTTCTAGGTACTTATTCTTAGTAAAAGTAATAAAGCCTAATAGGGTTAGTCTTTTAATAAGGTCTAGTCTAGCTACTATTAGATCCTCATTTATCTAGATATATTATATATCTTCCTTAATAATTAAAAGCAGGGTAATTATAATAGTAAGAGTACTAATATTTTATTATATATATATATACCGCTATATTAAAGGACCTTATATAGGTATAATATCTTCGGGAGTTCAAGCTTATTAAAGTTTCCTTAATAAATAAAGTCCTTAAAGTTATGTCTAAATAGCTCCCAAAGATTATTATTAACTATTTTATAGAGAATATATTAAAATAGCTTAGTATTCAAGAACTCAGATATCTCATATACTATAGTAATATCTAGATTAATTCTATATCTCTATTTCATTACTATTTCCTTGAAATTATTAGTCCCTATAGGTATAGAGTAATCGGATTAGATAGATCTAATAAAGGAATTATCTACTATAATAGGTTCCGCTATTATATATTCTATAGGCTTATACTTAGTTTGAAGTATAGTGATTCGTAAGGAGAGTAAATTCGTAAAAAGGAGAATAGTTTATAAGATAAATAGGTGGGAGTTATAATATTTGAGGTAAAATTTCACCTATAATAAGAAATTTAGGAAGTGAAATTCAAGGAGTGAAATATAGAGATTTCGGGAGGACTTAATAATTCTAAAGCTTAAAGGCTCCAGGTATTTAGATAATTATAAAGAGGGTAATTTTTTATAAAAAAGGTAGTTTTATAGGATAGTTAGATAGTTAAATAATTAATCGTTTAGTAGTTAGTAAGAATTAGTATCTTTCCTCCCTATAGAACCGAATTATAGGCAAAGGCAACTATTATTTCCCTTCTTTAATATAGCTTAGTCGGGCCTTAGTAAGATTAAGTATCTTTCTCTCCCTATAGAACCGAATTATAGGTAAAAATAGTTAATAGTTATTCCCTCTTTAATATAAAATAATGGCTTTGCTCCCAAGAAACCGAATCTTAAGCAAGTATAGCTTAATCCTTCTTACTATCTGATCTATAAGTACTAATAGACCTTATTCTGATTTGAATACAAACTAATTAGTATTAGTTTACTAGTAATAAATAGTACCGTTATATAAGCATAGAAGTACTAGTTGCATTAGTTAGTAAAGTTATTCTTTAGAAGTAGGGATTGCAGTATTATAGTATTAATATATAATCCCTAAATCTGCTAAGCCTAAAGGAGTCTAGTCTACTGGTCGAGTCACTAATGGGACGCGAGGTTACATAACCATGTCTCGTATCTCATATCCCATTACCCATATCCCGTTACTCATATCCCATTGCCCATATCCTGTGTCCCGTATCCCGTGACTATACACGTGACTCCCAAAGGAATAGCTATACTAATACTATTACCTGGCCAGAAGAATAAACTACCTCTACTAATTTAAGTAATAATAGACCGAGAATATAAAATATAGGATATTCTGGTATTAAAGGCAGAGTGGGGAAAGCTCCTATATAGGATTAGTTAGGTTAGGTATAATAAAGACCTTAATTAGTATCCGGCCTCTAATCTAAAATACTTCCTCTATAAGCTACGAGACTACTACTTGGCTAATTAATAATAGCCAGGCCTACTAAAGAAGCTAGTTGACTAGATACGAGCCTGGGAGGACGGAACGGAGAACTATAATAATTTGAATAATAATTCTATAATACCTATTCGCTTGAGGACAAGCTTTTTCCAAGAGAGGAGTAATATTATAATTCTATACTTTATCTGAGCCTGGTATCTGGTATTTAGTATCTAAATATCTGGCATCTGGGGTTATATAACAGTTATATATAACGAAGCTAGGGAAAGCTATACTCCAGGAAATTTAGGACACTAAGCCCTATTAGGCCGAGCCATAAGTAAAGAACTATAAATACTTAAGGGACCTTAGTTCGAGACTTCCTTTTTTCCTTAGCTTAGTTTTCTCGATAAATAGTTCTTCTACAAGTACCTTATCCGTAGGCTCCTTTTATAGGTCTATAATAGTTATATCTTTTATTATATTAATTATATAATTATTAAATTAGTTTGCCTTATATTAAAATATTAATTACTTATTTTAGTCCCGGAGTTTAATAAATTAATAAAGCATTATAAGTTTAACCCGGACCTTAATTTCGAGCTTTAATTAATTATTAAGAAGTATAAAGAGAAAGTAATATATATTTTATTTAAATAAATAAGTATATTAATAATAATAATTATAATAAGGAATAGTTACGTAATTACGTTATTATAACGCTTTAGATAAAAAATCTAAATCGTACGATTTTAAGAGCTTAATTAACTACACGTATATCTTTAATATTATTATAATCGGATTTATAGTTAATTAATAATTAATTTTCAAAGGTGCGGGTGCACTGTAGATTACGCGTTCTTTAGTGCGGGGCGTGCTTTGGTGCGGGAGTTCGGTTAGGTCTTCTTACCGGAACGCGCTGAGTCAGCGGCCCGCGCTGGCGCCGTGTCTTGGTCCTTTGGCAGGAAGAACCGGGGTTGTATAAGGGGTAGCGCACGGATACCAGCTGTCTGGTGGTTAGGGAAATTGAGTACTGAATTGGTAGTGGGCTTAACTTGGAACGGCTTAGCTCGTCACATGAAACCAGCCACATAGAAAGTAGTGACACATTCCCAGCTGAGCCAACTTAGCTTCCTATCGTCTCTAAAACAATCATAACACTGAACAGCCCAAATTGCTAAGAAACCAGGGATTTTATGGAGGCTGCGCAAGAGCAGATGGAGAAGCTGAGCACGATTGTAGCTCGAGAAGGGCAAACTGCACTTCCCGTGGAGCAGCGCGGCCTCTGCCTCCTCTCGCTAGGTATGCTCTCCAGTGCCTCACAACAAACGCAAGCTGACTGCATTATCCAGACGGAGGGGGTGTCAGAGGGCTGTCGGCCCTCCTAATACCGAAAGCTTTGATGCAGCGCATAAACGTAGCATATCCACCAGAGCATCCTCGTCTGAAGCCATGCGATATTTTCGATCTTATAGGTGGAACGAGCACAGGCGGGTGGGTTTAAGCATCATCCCTTATGAGTCGAGATACTGAAAAGTAATAGACTGATCGCCATATTACTCGGCATCCTTGAAATAACCGTTGATGATTGCATTGATGTCTATCTAGGCATGTGGAGGATGTTTTTAAGTCGAAGAAGCTTCCTGTCCACATAGGTCCTCTCAAATTTGGCAATGTCAAACCGCAGTTCAGCTCTCAGGTTCTCAAAACGAAAATACTCGAGATTCTTACGCATTATGGGCACAACGAAAAGACGCCATTCGCAGATACCCGTGAAAGACGCTGCAAAGTGTAAATATGCCATTTGCGCATAGTAATTCTAACTGACTGATTACTGTAGTTTTGTGTGCACCGTTGCTAAGGAGAACAAAGACATAGTGCGTCTTCGAAGCTATGGCACGCCTGATGCTTCGGATTTGGCGCCAACTGTTGCAATGTTTTGGAGGTTGACGACTTGATTTCTCAGCTCACGCGGGGTAAGCACTCTATATATACCCCCAGTATATAAACTACAGTGTACCAGCGTACACTCAGTTCCAACACCAACTATAGTTGAAGCTGCTCTTGCAACGTCCGCAGCAACCTCCTATTTTGAGCCACAAATGATTGGCCGATTCGACCAACAGTTTGTTGACGGCGGCCTGGGCACGAACAATCCCGTAAACCAGATTTGGAATGAGGCGCGAGATATATGGGCCCCAAAAGATGGAAATTTGCAGTCATTGATCAAATGCTTCGTTTCTATTGGCACTGGGAAGCCCGGGGACAAGCCGATCGCAGACAGTGCTTGGAAATTCCTCTCCGAGACCCTCAAAGAGATATCGACGGAAACGGAAAAGACAGCTAAGATGTTTGTCGACACCCACCGTAGTCTTTACGAGGGCAAAAGGTATTTCCGTTTTAACGTGGAACAGGGCCTTCAAGGCCTCGGCATGGAGGATCACAAGAACAAGGCCAAAATTGCGGCAGCGACAAACTCGTATCTGGACTGGCAGGAAATCAAGATTGCAGTAAGGGAGAGCGCTCTGAACCTTCGACAGGAGCAGCGACTGTAGGTTGAAGATAATTTCGGTTGAAAATCTGATCTTGATATATAATAAGATAGGAGCTGATGCATTTGCCTTTGGTATAGCCCTCGAGGAAAAGACCTTGCAGAATCACAAGTAAGTCCAGAGAAAGATATTGTTCACGAAAAACTGACTGACTTATCAAAGCTCACGTTCCGTGTCGATTTTGAGCTTTCTGTTCCTGTCACAAATAATTTCGTTGGATGGCAAATGGAGCTCGCAGATATGAAGCAAAAGCTCCTCGACAAAAAATCCTTGGGACAGAGAATTTACGTTCTCCATGGGCTTGGTGGGATCGGTAAGACTCAACTCGCTGTGAATTACATGCTGGACACGAAGGATGAGTACTCATCAATGTTCTGGTTGAATGCCAACACGGAAAGCTCTCTCATTGACAACCTTATCAAAGTCGGAAAGTCGATCCCTGGTTTCACTACATCTCATGCCGAACAAGGTGACCGAAAAAAAGAGGCAGCAGAAGTTCTCAAATGGTTCCGTCAGTCAGGAAACTCAAGGTGGCTGCTGGTATATGATAATCTTGACCATTTCTCCGACCCAAGGTCTAAATCCAAGGAGGCTGACCCAGAAGCATTCGACTTTCGAGACTGGCTACCAAATGGGTCTCATGGGTCCATACTAATTACCACAAGATTAAGTTATCTTGGGCAGTTAGCATTCGCTAGTCACCTGGAGAAAATTTCTTTCCAACACAGCTGGGCTTTGCTTCGATCATTCTGCCGGACAATGCAGCAGATTGCCGCGCCACGAAACCCTGCTGACGATATCCCTGAAGAACTGGAGGGAGCTGCGAAAGTTCTCGAGAAACTTGACGGTTTACCCCTCGCAATTGTACAGGCTGGTGCATACATGCAACAAACTGGAACATCGTTTGAGGATTACCTGAGTGACTACGAGAAGTCTTGGAAAGATTTATCCGAGCAAGTACCAGTTTTCCTGACGTATGAAAACGGGCCAGTCCACGCCTCCTTCATGATTTCTTACAGACACGTGCAGAGACTCAACATGTCGGCCGCGCAAATTCTGCAACTCTGGGGATGCCTCGACAACAAAGATATCTGGTATGGCCTATTCGAGTCGGCTGCGGCTTCTGAACACTTACCAGACCCCCTGAGAATTGCGACGCAAAGTCGGCTAGCCTTCAACGGAACTATGGGTGTTCTTCAAGAATTCTCGTTGGTAAATGTTGTGACGAGAGGTCAAAAAAGTACTTACAGCGTGCATCCAGTTGTCCATGCATGGTCATTAGACTATTTGAATGCGGAATGCAACGATGAAATACTTTGGGCAGCTATGACAGTCGTTGGATGTTTTCTAACGTCTCAGGCTGAGGCTGCTCAGCACGATAATACCAAGGAGCGTGGCGATATTGAGAATGAGATGCGCAGTCGAATATCCCCACATGCTTCAAGGTGCAATTTGGTCATGCTTTCACGGCCCTTCAACCGTGCAAGTTCCTCCTGGGAAACAGGAGAAAAATCATGGAAGTGCAAAGCTGCTCTCAAAGTTGCCGCATTCCGCGAGGGCTATTCGTTCCAGAACGACGAAAATGCAGATTCGCTCTTGCGTTGGATTCTTAGCACAGCGAAGGCCGACAACACTGTTCATATAAACGTCGCACTCGTCGAAGCGATACTTTCCATATCCGATATCGCGACTAAGACACTGGGAGCGGAGACGGTTCATTCTATACGAGTAGGAAAGCCAGCACCAAGCGATCGCGTGGACTACATCGGTGCACTTATCGATGAGGGAGGAAAGAGAATTATTGATCGAAACCATCCAGATGTCCAGCGTGTCTTGAAAAGGAAGGATGCATTTTTCACCATTATGACCAATGAAGTTGGTTCAAGCTTTCTCCTACAAACTATGGCACAACAAGGATACTCGCAGATCGCCCTGGAGCGGTATGATGAGGCAGCAAAGATCCTCATTGAGATTGCGAGCGTCTGGGGCTCAGGGTCCGAAGACAGAGAAGAATATCACACCCGGATAGGTGACTTTGTTTCCAGAAGTTGTGAACCAAACAGCGCCGTGAAACAACTCGAGAAGAAGAGGGAAGAGTACAATCTTCGTCAAGCAGAGGAGTTCTTGGCGTTACTTCTTGGCGGATCCGAGTGACGTCTCTGAAAATTCAGGAAAGGCAGACCAGTATACCAATACGCTGAGATCTTTCATAATGCCGCCATGAACTACGGAAACGAAGGCAACCTCGAAGAGGCTGGCAAGTTCTTTGAGACGCAATAAAGCTTAGGGGGGAGTCGCTAGGGTTGCTCGCACGCCCATGTTTGCATAGTATCAAGGCTCTGATGGTGGTCAGAGATAGGGAGACGCATCACCTAGCGTTATTAGGTAAGTCGTCGCTCCTTCTGATGTTTTTTCAATGATGGATCGCGCTCGTACGCTTTACGAAACACTATGAGCATTCTCAAAGAAGTTTCTACAGGCGTGGACAAAGACTGGGGGCCAGAAGATGAACGCACTCATGGGTGGATGGATATTGTGGAGAGTTGGATGGAGAAAATGAATGAGCACGGGAGGAGATAATTGTCAGTTGGATATCACGTGAATAGTTCTTAGGCTTCCTAATCAGGTTATAGCGCTTTTCCATACATATAAATCTCCTGCTTCGATGCAGCTTTGTAACCTTAGATAATTTTATCAAGAACCGCTTTACCCTCAACTTTTGGCACCCATGTGCCTTGTTTAAAACTGCAATCGGCAGATCAAAACAAGGCAATCCATGGGCTGAAAACCGCTTGCCTCTTGCAATGGACGTCAAGCCTAGCACCACTTTGATTTCGATTAGAGAATTATTTTCTCCTTTCCTGTTCTAAAATTAAATCGTGACCAGTCGAAGGAAACTCTGAGACTGCCGAACATGTTGGAACTGAGTGTACGCTGGTACACTGTAGTTTATATACCAGATGTATATATAGAGTGCTTACCCCGCGTGAGCTGAAAAATCAAGTCGTCAACCTCCAAAACATTGCAACAGAACAAAACGAGGATACCGGTCACGTGATGATTTATTCAAATAAGGTTACTGACTTCAATCCTTGAAAGATTAGAGCTGGATTTGAATGATTCCTTGTCGAGATCTTTCAGAGCACTATGCTGCAGCCGTTGCTCCAAAATCCAAAATCTCTACGCCTGCCCACCAAAAATCGCTGACGAATCCTCTCCCAAACTTGACATTCCTATGCTTCCATACAACTACTAATCCAATACTTGTAACTATAATTTTTGTCCCGTCCGGTACCTTGATCTCCCCATTTCCCACGCGCACTTGTCCTCCTAAATCGTCGTTGCTCCAAAATTCAAAATTGGCACCTCTGCTACCCAAAACCACAAAATTGCCTCCAAAATCGACATGACTCCCACAACTCACAACCACAAATCCAATCCTCGTAACGACCAATTCTTTTGTATCATATATATCGATATACGTACTTCCTCCGTGAACTTCCCCTTCCAAACCGTGGTTGCCGCAAAATCCAAAATTTACGCCTTGGTACCCCGAAATTCGCCTGGGAAATGCCTCCAAAACTCACCACCTCTCCTATATACCACACTATTAATCCAATACTCGTAACCAAACCTTCCGTCTCTCGCTTCCCTACATTCTATAACCCCATTTCCTGCGCTTACCTCACTTCCCGACTGGTGGTTATTGCATAATCCCAACCTGGGTAGAACTGCACCCAACCTCAATGCTTACCCGCTTACGTAACCCGCCGCTTCCCCGACCAAAACCCTCACCCTCACTAAATCCTCTAACCCTGACCCTCTCCGTACCTTCTAACCCTCACCCTGACTGCTCGTAATAACCCTAACCTTGATCTCCTGTCTTCTAACCCTTACCGTTGCCGTAACCAACCCTGACTATACCCCTCATCACGTGCCCTGTACCGAAACCTTTATTACGATTCCCCACCTTCGAACTCTCGCTACAACCCTCCAATCCGCCCTGATAACCTCTTCTCCAACTACCACCTCGAATATCCTCTCCCTCCCGTACCCGGAAATCCATCCAATCTCTATCCGCCTTGTAATGCCACCTCCAAATCCCTCTAACTGCTTACTAACCTCCAACTCCCAACCTATTGGTGCCTCCCTAATCCATCCAACAACCCACTCCTACGGCCCGTACCGCTCCTCTCGCACCCTTCTCGATATACTGGCTCGTACTGGCATTGTATATATATTTGTCTACGCGTACGGTGTGGCTGGAATACTCGTCTACGGTGTGTAAAATAGTATTATACGGAGGTTTAAAGTATTAGTAAGATAATTATTAATAGCTTAATAAATTATCGAATACTATATATAAATTCTTATTAATTACTTTTATAAAAAGCTTACTTTTGACTTATTAAAAGCTAGGTTTTAGTTACATATATTAGGCTAGTTAGTATAGGTAAAAACTATTTAAGCTACTCAAGTTATTCTAGAGTAATCTTGAGTAATCTTGAATAAAGTAAAATAGAGTGCTATTCTAAAGTAACTCAAAAGTAGTTATATACAAGTTATATAAATATAGTAAATTATTATTTGTTTAATTATTAATAAATAAATAAGGTACTTATTAAGTAATATTATATAATTTAAGCTAGAGCTTATATAAGGCTACTTAAATACTACTTTTTTCTATAAAAAACAAATTTCTCTTCTTGATTTCTTTTCTTCTTCTTCTAATTCGTCTTTAAATAACTCTAGCTTTTTAAATAAGATATTATTTTAATAGTATTCTTATTAAGTTTATTATATAATTTAAATAATAAGAATATCTTAAAAAAAGAATTTGCTTTTAATAATTAAGGAAGACTAAAAATATATTAAGATTTTACTTATAATAGCAGAAATAAAATAATAAAATAAGACTTAAAAATAAATGATTTTAATGTCTTAAGAATCTAAAGCTAAGAAAAGAAAAGAAAGTAAGGTATAGTAGTAAATAAGTAAGTATAATTAATATTATTAATATACCGAGTATAAGGTATATAATAGTAGAATAATATATAAATAGTTAAGATAAGTAAGCTATAAAGTAATACTTATAAGTATAACTAATTCCAAGAATTAATTCTAATAAAAAACTAATTAATACCTCTTTCTAAAGCTAGAAACATCTTCTTATATATTTCCTAGTACTTAGCCAAGTCTATAAAATACTTTATTTAATTAGGAAATATAATTTTATATAATTCGTATAATTCCGATTACTTATATAATTCTAATTATAAGCTTTATTTAAAATAGGAAACTAGATCTATAATATCTAATATCTATCTATATACTATTATATATATCTATTATATTAATTCTTTCTCTAGGCTCTTATTTCTAAGAGGCCTGAGAAAACTATAAATAGCTTTATAAATAATTTCCTAAAACTTTTCCGGCTACTAGTTCTTCCTAAAAACTTCCCATAATTACCCTATTATTATACTAGGTAATGAAATTAAGAATATAATTTACTAATCCTGCCCGGTTAACTTATAAATTATCTCTAGTAATTTCTTCTTATAAAAATAATATAGGTATAATATATACTATTAGATATAAAGCTTTTCCGGTCTTCTAATTAGTTTATAAATTCTAATTTAGCCTTTATTTATATATAAATTATTACTTTATAGACCTAAGAGCTTAGAAAAGTTAATTTAATTTTCTGGTTTATTTATAAATTCTTTCTTTAAAATTTTCTAGGTATTTCTTATATAAAGCTAGTTCTGAATTTATAATTACTATTTGGGGAAAAAGTATTATAAAAAGGCCTTTCTTTTTCTACTAACTAATCTTTCTTTTCCCTAATTATAATACTATATCTAGCTTCTTCTTATTTCTTACCTTTTTTCTTTAAGTTTTCTTTAAGCTTCTTTAAGCTCCTTTAAGCTTCTTTAAGCTTTATTTAAGTTTCTTTCTAATTCTCTCTTTTATTTCTTTATTTATTAAGATAAATACTTCTCTTAGTACTTATTAGCCTATTACTACTTATTTAACTAATATTTCTATATTCTTAATTTACTTTTACTATTTTTAATATTTCAAGAATATTACTAAGTTTCCTAATCTTACTTATATTAAAAGTAATAATTACTTAATATATAATTATTACTACTCTAAAACCAAGAAATATAATTCTATAAATTATAAATTTCTTTATTTATTTTCTATTCTAATATTATTTAAGGTTTCTCAAATATATATAATATAATTAAACTGCCTTTTTTAAGCTATTAATATATATAAATATTTTCCCTAACCTTTATCTAAAAGAGAAAAGGCTATTACTATCTTTTTTCTATACTAAACTATATATACTTCTTATATTAAAGCTATTATTCGAGGCTAATAAATTCTCTTAATAATTCAAGAAATAAATTAAGTAATTCTTACTTGCTTAGTATAAGTATAAAGTATTCTTAATAGTATAATTAATATTTTTTAGTATTAAGTAAGCTTATTTCTTTCTTGTTTCTTACTAATAGCTAATAGTTTTATAGGCTAATTTATTACTTATTTCTCGAGAGAATTCTAATAAGAATAATAATAAGAATAATAGAAAATAATTATAAAAATAAGATATTTATAAAATATAGAAATTAGAGTTTTTAGAGTTCTTAATAATTTTTATATAGCTTTTCCAAAAATAAATATATAGTTTTTAATAGTTTCCTAATAAAAGTATTTATTTTTTATATTTTTATTTAGCTAATAATATTATAATATTATTCTTTTTTAAGTATTCTTATAATTCTTAAGCCATATTCTCTAGATTACTTAGTAGTTCCTATATATTATTTACTAGTAAGTAGCTTTTCTAATAAACGAGATATTTTCTTTATTTTTTATTTTTCTTATAGGCTATAATAAATTCTACCTTGAATTCCTCTTTGCCCTTAATCTCAACTAGTTCTGGTTCTACTATAATACTAGCTTACGAGTATTATGGTTCTAAGAAAGAAATATAGAAAATATTATAGATCTAATATAATAGTAATAATTTCAAATAATATATTTATTTATATATTTCTATAATTTCTAGAACTTTAAAGAAACTAAAATATCTGTCTACTAGCTTTATACTAGATTATAGCTACTAAATATTCTTTATA